TTACATGTATTGATTTCCATATATTGAACCAGCCTTGCATCCCAGGGATGAAGCCAACTTGATCATGGTGGATAAACTTTTTGAGGTGCTGCTGGATTTGGTTTGCCAGTATTTTATTGAGGATTTTCACATTGATGTTCATCAGGGATATTGACCTAAAATTCTCTTTTTTGGTTGTGTCTCTGCCAGGCTTTGGTGTCAGGATGATGCTGGCTTCATAAAATTCTAATTAGAAAGATTTTAAACTTGTTTGCTGTTACATAAGCTTTCTCTATTAAATCTGTAGTAATTTTCATGTTATTTTATTCTCATCTTCTGTTTCATATTGTTAGAGTTTCTTAAACATTTGTTCTGCCCTCCTCAACCTTGTCCTTTACATACCACATACCATCTTATTTCATCTCAAGATACATTTCTTCAAGCCACCTCCAAACTCCCCCAAATTATACCTGGTTCCTGTGTGACACTCTCTTGCTTTACCTCATTCTTTTTCTTTATAAATTATTCAGAGTTTGTAATTATATGTTTGTGAAATTATGTAATATATGTATATTTCTTTCCACTGGAGTGTAAGTTCTATGAAGACAATGTATCTCTTTTCACATTATTTTAATGATACTCATAACAAAGTGTAGTACTTATTGCCATAATGGTACTCCATGACCATTTTTGCATTTTTGATGAATTAATAAACATATAAACAAGTCTGGGGGCTTAGTATAGCCAATAATAAAGGAAAAAGTACTTTGCTCTCCTTTGCTATTATTAGTTCTTGCATGCACATTATTTAGAGTTGCATTTCTGAGAGGTTCCCATAGACTTAGGAAGGATTTGGATACTCAGGGTTTCCTAACTATGATAAAAACGAGAAGAGTCTAAAAACTAACATAACTTCAAACAGAATGCTTGTCTGCCTATGTTTATGGGACTTTCCTGGAATGCATTTTTTAAAAACTTTGCATTATAGAAAACTTCAACTATGGACGGTAATAGTGAGAAGAGTAGCATTTTTTTTTTTTTTTAAATAGAGTCTTGTTCTGTTGCCCAGGCTGGAGTACAATGGCACGATATCAGCTCACTGCAACCTCTGCCTCCTGGGTTCAAGCGATTCTCCTGCCTCAGCCTCCCAAGTAGCTGGCATTACAGGCACCTGCCACCACGCCCAGCTAACTGTTTGTATTTTTAGTAGCGACAGGGTTTCACCATCATGTAGGCCAGGATGGTCTCGAACTCCTGACCTCAGGCGATCCACCCACCTTGGACTCCCAAAGTGCTGAGATTACAGGCATGAGCCACCGCGCCTGGCCGAGTACCATGTTTTAAAAGCCCAGCTTTATCAATGCTCAATTCATGGGCAATTTTGCAAACCCACCCAATTAATCGTACGTGCACACTGGGTTATTTTGAAGATACTTCCAGATATCACATTTCATTCATAATTATTTTATTATGAAAATCTAAAGTATAATGACTTTTTAGAAAACATAACAGCAATCTCATTACCACACTAAAATTAGATAATTCCTTAATACAGTCAGTGTCAGTTTTTCTGATTGCCTCATATAAATTTGGTTCATATATTTCTTCAGCCTTTTTAAAATGTATAGCTTCTCTTCTCTCTCTCTCTTGAATTATTGCTGAAGAAATGGAGTTGTTTATCTAGCAGAAATTCTCATACTGTGGATCTTGTTGGTTGTATCCCTGTGGTGTCATTTGCTGTGGGATTTGTTAGTTGGACTCCAGAAAATAACAATAACACCAATTGTTAACACCTATTGACTGCTTACTATGTGCCAGTCTGTGCATGAAGTGCTTCATTTGTAATAAAATGAAATCCCTAGTTTGAATGTGGTAAGTGCAAATCTGACATATTTCATGTGATTTTTAAAATTTTATAAATTTTATTTATTTATTTATTTTTAGAGATGGGATTCTACTCTGTTGCCTAGGCTAGAGTGAGCACAGTGGCACAATCCTAGCCCACTGAAATCTTGAAGTCCTGGGCTCAATCACTCCTCTTGCCTCAGCCTCTAGAGTAGCTGGGACTACAGGAGTGTCGCCATGTGTTAATTTATTTTATGTTGTAGAGACGGGGTCTTGCTTTGTTGCCCAGGCAGCTGTTGAACTCCTGGCTTCAAGCAATCCTCCCCTATTGACCTCCAAAGTGCTAACATCACAGGCACCAGCCTCTGTGACCCACTAATTTTGTAACTATTAAATAGTGTGATATTAAATATTAATGAAGTCACACTTTATGGTGTAATCTGAAATAATTCAAATAGCTCAAATAATTGTTTAAGAATCACATGATTTTAAATCATACAGGTTGATCTGTAACCCTATTTATAGTAGACTCTACATTTTTAGCTGATAAAAAGAAATATTTACTCTTATTTTTTAGAATTAGTTTTAATTCTGCTATTTTAACATTACATAAATATTTTTGAATACATCCTTTTAATAAAATACAACTATCATTAAATTTGCTTTCCACAGTGCTTCTTGAAGAAGCAGTCTGAGTTGGGCAGCATTTGTAGATTTCTGCATGACTCTGGTCATTATGCCATTCAGTATAACCTTTATGTTACACACACACACACACACACACACACGCACACAGATGCACACAACTCCAAAATGCTGGGTTCTTGCCTCATGGATCACCAAAATGTATATGAAATTTATTTGAAGCCCTATTGCTAAAAACTTCTTAGCATATTGTGCATTTTAATGTGACTTTTTTACTAAAATTTTTATTTTAACATATTTAGATTTCTACGTGACTCTGGTCATTATGCCATTCAGTATAACCCTTATGTTACACACACACACACACACACACACACACCTGCATACAGATGCATGCAACTCCAAAATGCTGGGTTCTTGCTTCATGAATCATTTAAAAAATAGACTTTATTTTAAAGCAGTTATAGGTTCACAGAAAAACTGAGCAGAAGGTGCAGAGGTATCCCAGAGGTCCCCAACCCCCGGGCCATGGACCAGTACCAGTTGGTGGCTGGTTAGAAACTGGACCACGCAGTGGGTGAGCCAGAATTACCAACTGAGCCCTGCCTTCCATCAGATCAGTGGTGGCATTAGAGTCTCATAAAGGCGCGAACCCTATTGTTAACTGTGCAAGCAAGAGATCTAGGTTGCATGTTCCTTATGAGAATCTAACTAATGCTTGTGGATCTGAGGTGGAACAGTTTCACAGTTTCATCCCCAAATCATACCCACATTCCCCCCACTATCTGTGAAAAAATTGTCTTCTATAAAACTGGTCCTTGGTGCCAAAAAGGCTGGGGAGAGCTGCCAGATACACTCTGCTCCCACACATGCATAGCCTCCCCCATTAGCAACATCTCCCATCAGAGTGGTACATTTGCTATAATTTATGAACTTACATTGGCACATCATTATCACCCAAAGTCCATAGTTTACATTAAGTTTCACTGTTGGTGTTATACATTCTGTGGATTTGAGCAAATGCATAATGACATTGTTCATCATTGTAGTATCAAACAGAATAGTTTTATTGCCCTAAAAATTATCTGTGCTCTGTGATGGACATTTTCATGATCATCACTGGTTCCGACTCCCTGTGCTTACTGATCCCCAGTCTGCGTTTTAAATTATTTTCTCCTTGAACTATCTTCACCTCTTCCCCAAAGTAAACATGCATAAAGATCTGTTGTATATGATATACCTTGAATAAACACTTATGGGCCATCAAGAGGGAATGTATATCCCTTCTTGGAGAATTGAAAACGAAAGTCAAATATTACAACTTCTCGTGCTAAGAGTTCTCTTACCAATCCAATCTCATCCTCTCTCATTCTGGAGAAAGAAAAATATCTTTCAATTATCATATGAAAAGAAATTCACCCATAGCTCTACATTTGAATCTCCTAAATCATTAAGGGGTTGAGAAAAACGAAAGTGCTTTTCATATAATACGATCTATTTTTAAAAATAAAATAATTATAAATATAACCACAATGTTTTCTTATGTATTCATGTACTATGTGTAAGGCATTGACTATGTATCAAGATTATTCAAATTCTATCAATAACTCTGCAAGGAAAGTATTATTACTCCTACACTGTGGATGAGAAAAGTAAGGCCAGAAATGTTAGATACTTTACCCATTTATAAAGTCTAAAATACTAGCCTCAAAGTACTGAGTCCTGGATTTGGATTCAGGGTTCTTTGCACCAAACTATACTGTATCAATTATTGCATTAATGTTTTATATTTTTTCTCCAATTAAAATTTAAACTCACGGATGCAGGTAGCATGGATAGAAATATCCTCACGGATTTCATAGTTTTTTAGAGGCATGAGGTCACTGCTGACCCATTTCCTCTGGGAGAGTTTCTGCCAGGAAATGGCGAATCCAATGGAGGACACAGCACCCACTGCTGCTGCTACATTGTCTCAACTGTGTTGTTCTTCCTAGGGTTTCTCTCATAAGCTCATGCTTTCCTTAGCCAGGAGGGGTGAGGGGAAAGGGCTGGGGATTTCTGAAGATATTGGCATTGTTTTTCATCAGCATGTTTCCTAGAAACATCCTGCAGCCATATTCACTACCCTGTCTTCTTCATGCCAGGGTGGCACAGGGAAAGCTACATGGTTATCTAGCAAAGCTTCATTCAGGAGGTGAGGCAGACTGCGCCTCTATTCAGGGCTCCTAGATATGTCTGTGTCTTCTACTCCCATCCCTTTCCCCATTGTCACTAACCCTATGTAAGGAACAAGTATTTGTTCCTTTTCAGATACCCACATTATTGTCTTATTCTAATGTTTTTCTGACTTCTATTTTTTTTCCTGACTAAAGAAGTTTTATCTCAAGGTGAGGAGGGAAGAGGAAGGCTTCTACTGTCATCATTCCTCACAAATTTGAAGTTTTGAGAACAAAATTTTACTTTTGATATTTTTGAGATTCAAAGTTCCTTTATCCTAACTTTTTTCTCTGTCGTACTTTTAAAGGTCACACTGAAATTAGTACAGACTTATTTTTTAGTTTTAAAATTTTTGCTATAGCAATCCTGGGCCAAGGGCAGATGGTATCCATTAACTTCACTGTTGCCTGAATTGAGGGGTGGGTGGCAGTGCCAAGGGTGGGAACACAAGGAAGCAAGAAATACTAATGTCAGCTAAGAAATCAACATATTATCAGGCTATACTGTACTTGGTGGCTTCTGTGTTACTGGACATGAAAAATGATCTGGGGAATGAGATTAAACAGGATTGAAAGATAAGAGTCCCCCAATTCTTAGCCATAGTTTCAGTCAGCCCTGGATGAAAGATGAAAAAATTTGACATAGATCTCATAAAAGGAATTTATTGTTTCCATGGAGATTTTGGATAGAGGTTACTGAGGAATTAGGTAGCTGGGTGGCTTACTCCAGGCACGTCTTAGTAGGTAATGTTTGAGAAAAGAAAAAAAAATCAGGAGGTCAGGGAAAGAATGTAAAGGTATTTGTGAGCTCTGAGGGGATATAGCAGCTTAAGTCCCAGAGAAAAAGTGAGAGGAGAAACATTTAGAGGAGAGAAGGGATATGATAAATTGGGCCACAGAATAGTCCTAAGTCATGTAGCAAGTCCACTCTTCTGCTCCTGTAGATGGTGATGCACCTGCAACAGGACAGACATGAGATCGATGGGTCCGAGGGGACTCCTGTGTCATCATTATGCCACTTCCCAATTCCTCTACAACTTCCTACCACATTCATGTCCACAACACCCTCCCACTTTCCTTCCTCTCATAGTGAGGCTTCAGCTCTAACCAATCTCAATCTTACCTTCCTTTTCAGGGTGGGATTCACAAGGGCCCTTGGTGTCTGGAAGCACCAACTGAACGCAGGCCTTGAATGATGAAGACAGTGCCCACCACAATGCCCATGAGGCCCACAGACAACCCCAGGGCGCAGACCACAGTCTCTGTGAGCTCTGACATGGGCGCTGGAATCTCCGGCTCTGTAGAAGTGAAATTGTTGAGGTAAGAATGTGCAGTGTGCTCATGTGCATGTGTATGGGATGGGATGGGGTGGAGGGTTGGCTCTGCAAAGATTCAAGGCTTAGGGAGGAGAGTGAAGTCTATCATTAGAAAACCATGAAGTGGCAGGCCCGCTCCCATCCTGTAGAGTGTACTTTCATTTTCAATAAATCTCTGCTTTTTTGCTTTTTTCTTTCAAAAAAAAAAAAAAAAAAAAGAAACAGAGAGAGAGAAAAGAAACCCATGAAGTATGGAAAACAAGTTTTGGGATATAGGAGTAAAAGGCAGGAAGTTCTGAACTTGACAGACAAGAAAGCATCAAAAAATGGTGGAACTCATCCTTACCCCAGTGTTTCAGAAGAGGCTCGTCCAGGCCCCAGTGCTCCACCCTGCAGTCATAAATCTCATCAGCAGAAGGGAGGAAGGTGAGGTAACTGATCTTGAAGAAGGAATGATCACTCTTGGAGAGGAAGCTGGTCTCAGAAACACCTTCTGTGACTGAGTGCCCATTGCTCAACCATGTGATGTTCACCACAGGAGGAAAGATGTTGTCCACAAGACAGATGAGGGTGTTGGGCTGACCCAGCGTCACGGGAGACTTGGAAAACACTGTGACCTCAGGAACCTCTGTGGTGAGGAAACAGCACTGATGTGAAGTGTGAATAGCTCTGCCCTGAACTTCTGCATTACATCCTGGAAGAGCCCTCCTACCAGCATTTCACCACCTGATAGTCAAAGAGGTCTTATTCATCTTCTGCTTGGGAGCAATGACACATTGCCTCTGCTTTATTACTGTGCCCTTCTCTCTGTGGGCATGTTTAATAAAGTAGGAGGTTGATGAGACCTCTCCTAGAAGGATTTAATGAATGCATAATGGAAAGACCCTTGTATTACATGGGAATATGTGATTTTAGAGACGGGAGATGATAAAATTTCAGCAATTGCCATGAGAAGATCTGGGGACCTCTTGGAAAGAAAATAATGAAACACGGTATGAAGGGATAGACTGAGTAAAGAGAGGCAGAATGGTGGACACATACCATTGGTGGCAGCGGTAGAATTGTAGCGTTTAGTCATGATGTTCAAGTTGTATTTTGCTGTAGCCAAGTTTCTCAGTGCACCCTGTGGGTCAAAACCTCCAAATTTGCTTAACTCAGGCCATCGCCAGGCCGTCTCCTTCCTCCCCAGGTCCACGTAGAACTGCTCGTCTCCATCAAATTCATGGGTGTACTGGCCAGAGGGACCATAAGACTGGTACACGTTTACACCGCAAGAGGCAACGTGGTCAGCTGATGAGTGAAGATGACAAACAGGAAGGCGGAGAACAGGGGAAGAAAGAACCTTAATACACAAAATGATGGAAGAAACTGACTTTCAAATATTATGGGCTTCATCTTTGGCACAGTCCGTGGACATTTCCAGCCCCTGCTTCCTCCCCTCTTCATGTTGGTAGTTGTCCGGTTAAAAGTGCACTTTCTTTCCCACTGTAGTGTGCGCTACACAAGGGCAGAATATCGCATGTACAATTTTTATTATTTTGAGTGCCTGGCATGTCATGGACTTATGATTAAATAATGTAAATGAACAAAAGAAGGAATGAATGAGTTATCATAGTATTTAGCTTTCTTAGTCGGAGATTAGATTTACTTCCCTCTGCTTCCTAAGATTTATCTTTCACTTAATTCTTCCATCGATTAATAACAAATTGATTACACTTCCTTTCCTCTCAGGACTGGCTCAGAATAGGATACTGTACACAGAGATCTTTCTTTTTAAAAAAAAAAAAAAAAAGGAAAAGGAAAAGCATGCAGAAATCTTATTAATTTAAAATAATTTCTACTAACAATCGTAGGGTATAAGAAAGAGTATAACAAGATCGGTAATAACATTACAAAATATATAATAAATAAACAATGCCTCCTTCTAAGGTCTCTGTTTTGTTAATAGTAATGGTCCTTAGAGGACAGCAACAGATTTCTTCTGAAATGAAAAGTGGAAGCTCTACTAGTTTTTGGATTTCTGTCATTCCTCCCACCTTTTTTTTTTTTTTTTTTTTTTCCTGTGAAGAAGGTTACTAAATGTCTACAGCGTTCTGACTCAACACTTACATTCACCCTTTTTCCTCTAATGGGCAGTGTGCTTGTCTGAGGATGCCAGAGCAGAACAGCAGCCATGCAGTACAACGCCAGCCGAATGAGCCGAACTGGACATTCTTATCAAGACATGTGTAAGCCTTTTACCATCGTATCTTTCCCTCCTTCCCCACTTTCTGAGCATCCACAAGTGTCAGACACAGCAGGGGATGTGTAAAACACCAATCAGGCATGGTCTACCATTAAGGAATAAACTGAACAGTGGGAGAGTCAGGTAGGTAAGGGAACAGACACTGTGGTAAGTTCTGTACTGTAGTACGTTCTGTGAGGAGGTTATCGACAGCTTTACAGTCCAACGTCCTTCACAAGTATCTGCCAAGCAAACCAAACTACACTATCTTTTCATGTTCCCTGGTCTTGGCAGTGGTCTGTTGTTTTTCTCCCTGATATGAAATTATCTTTTAGGACTTCCTGGAGAAATCCTACAATCCATCCTTGAGGTTTCTGCTTAAGTTAGCAACTTTGTAGCTGAGTCCTCTCATCAACATGTTTTTGACCACGTTATGACCTCCAACTCCTCCATCTCAGTATCTCCTGTCCAAGTTTGTCTGTTCCTCTTCCAGCTCACCTTCCTCCCTATCCAGCATGACTTGCCCTGGTTGGTCTTAACAGGCCACCAACAAAGCCTCCTTATCCTTGCCATAAACCTTGACTCCTTGTTCAAACATGAATATGTGTGGAATATGTGCAGTCCTTCTTTTCTTCTGGTACTTATCTTGGGTGCCAAATTTTGCTAGAAGACGTCACCCTGCTGGCCCACCTGGAACCAAGTCACTTGTATTGTTTCAGCCTCTGCTGGGTCCACTGCCCTGCTCAGCAATGGCCCTCTGCTTTCCTGCACCTCATACTGTTTCCATCTCTAGTCTGCGCACCCTCTGCAGGGAAGACAGCATGACTTTTCATCTTTGAACCCTTAAAACTTAGCTCACTGTGTGCTCAAACATGTGTATTGAATGGCAGTTGCTATATTTGAGGACCACATCGATTTTGGGGAAGACGGACAGGCACACAGGTGGCAGAACCATATGAAGGCCAGGATCAGCCATGACCAGGGCTGCGTTCAGACATGTGAGCCCCGAGCACTCTTGCTTGTGTGGGCCCCTTCCTCCATAAAAATATGGAAAATTGTGTTTTATGACTGAATTGGTATAAAGGCAATATAATCTAGCCTGAATTAAAAGTTAAAACATTTTCTTAGGCTCCAAAATTTCATTTTTTTTCTAATCTTAAAAGGAGTTAAAACATTCTCTTGTGGCTTTACAGTATGGAGGCTCCCCTGCACTGCCCACGTTGTGCCTAATGGATGAGCCGAGCCTGACCAGGGCACTCTGGTGTGAGGTTCAAGAAAGGAAATTTGAAACAAAGACGCCAAGTGCTCTGGAGAAGCAGGTGAAACTTCCACTGCCGAACAAAATCAGAATGGGAGCAGCCACGGTTAATAAGGTTGTGGAAGTTTAGACCTTCCAGTTCACTTCCCCTTTTGACTATCTGACTTTTCAACTTTTGTTTTACAAACCCACTGTCCACATCCATAAAGGAGCAGGGAGTCAGAGATGGATCCTGAAAGGGAAGAGGGAGAAAGGAATGCACCAAGAGAGGTGGAAAGAGATGGACGACAAAGATAGAGGAGGCTAAGATACCAAATAATTAATCTGTGCTTCCTTCCTTTTTCTTTCTGTCTCTCTTTTTTCCTTCCTTCCTTCCTTCCTCCTTTCCCTTTTTCCTTCCTTCCTTCCTTCCTTCCTTTCCTCCTTCCTTCCCTCCCTCCTTCCCTCCCTCCCTCCCTCCCTCCCTCCCTTCCTTCCTTCCTTCCTTCCTTCCTTCCTTCCTTCCTTTCCTCTTTATTTTTGAGACAGGGTCTCTCTTTGTTGCCCTGGCTGAAGTGTAGTGGTGCTATCATGGTTCACTGCAGCTTCCGCCTCCTGGACTCAAGTGATCCTCCCACTGCAGCATTCTGAGTAGCTGGTACCACAGGCACGCACCACCATGCCTGGCTACTTTTTATTTTTCTTTTTTGTAGAGATGAAGTCTTGCTATGTTGCCCAGGCTGGTCTCAAACTCCTGGGCTCAAATGATCCTCCTGCCTTGGCCTCCCAAAGTGCTAGGATTACAGGCATGAGCCACCATGTCTGGCCCACTTTTGTTTTTATAGGACTTCATTAGATGAGGTGAAGAACAGGTAATTTGGGTTGATAATTTGAGAATAAAAATTCTTTAATTTACCATTTTTTTCTACTTCTTAATTTTAAAATGAAAGGATTCCTTATTTTGCTAAAGAAAATACGTGTAAAACTATACCTGTAATAGAAATACATAAAAAAAATTGACATTCATGTTTTCACTATTTACAAAGCTTAGCTACATGCCCATTTTATTTGATTATTTGTGAGGTAACACATATGAGGCAGCTGAGAGTAAATGAGGACCATGTGGCAAAATGATTGTTGAAGGCATTCAGCCTGCTGGACTCCTCTACCCACTCCCCACCTGTGCCTGTTCCCATGTGGAAATGTGAGTCTGAAAGAAAGAAAAGGGCATCTTTCTTAATATCTGTAGAGTATATAATTGATGGAATGACCCCAAGATCTACTACAGGAGACATACGGAAAGCTTCAAAAGTTGTTCAGGGAAATTTGAGAATGACACTTCATAAATTTTTAATAATAAAAAATTATCCAGTGATGGAAACCTCATTAATTTTTGAGGCAATCATGATGGAATGACATAGAGACCTCCAGGCTGTAGTCACTGAATATAATATAAACAGAATGGAGTCCTTAGTGAACACAACAGCATAGATAACAAAAAGAGTAGGTTGGGGCTCTGGTTTCCTGAAGGAGGAACAGCCATAATTTTAAAATCTCTTAATACTGAAGGAGCCCTTAGGAAATCTCTACCATTTCTCTGCGAATCACTTTCTCTCTTTTCCTTCAATTTCCTGTCTTCCAGCTCCAGAGAACATCGCTCACTCATGCACTCACCCACAATGTCTTCACCTCCACAGGGGCTCATCACGGTGGTCAGGGCGAGGGCCCCCAGCATCAGAGCTTTGTTTAGGATCATCTTCTTCCCAAGGCAGCCTCAGCAGTTGCTTTTCTGAGCTGTAGAGTAATTGTGAGGACCTCGAGACAAGGAAATCTGAAGACGCCCAAACCCAAACCTGCCAGATCAGATTTTGACCAATTAGAAAAATCCCCTATGGTGACACCTCCGTTACTAGTTGAAGAGTTTGTATTAAGAGCCCTGGAAGGAGACAGGGCAATCCCCTGGTTGTGATGCAGCCTCCACTCAGAGTGGACTTGAGGAAATGTTCTATGAATAGAAGGAGGACACTAAATTGGAATCTTCTCTGGTGTTTGCATGTCTGCCAACGGCAAGAGGGGTAGGCATTGCATTTATTTTCTTTTTCTTTTTTTTTTTTTGAGACATAGTCTCACTCTGTCACCCAGGCTGAGGTACAATGGCATGATCTCGGCTCACCCCAACCTCTGCCTCCCATGTTCAAGCAATTCTCCTGCCTCACCCGCCCGAGTAGCTGGGACTACAGGTGCCTGCCACCATGCCCGGCTAATTTTTGTATTTTTAGTAGAGACGGGGTTTCACTATATTGGCCAGACTGGTCTTGAACTCCTGACCTTGTGATCTGCCCATCTCGGCCTCCCAAAGTGCTGGATTACAGACATGAGCCACAGCGCCTGGCCAGGGGTGGGCATTTCTGAGCGGCCTCATGGATAGATGAGGTCATCAATTATATGGCATCCTTCAGAGTTTTCTGGGTTACAACCTCCAGGAATTTTTCCCTGAGTTGATTTCCCTCCCTGGCAGTTCCCATCCCCTCCCCTTTCTCTGGCTTCTGTATGTGGGTTAACTGTTTTTCTTTTTGCTTCCATAGTGTGTATGGAATTCTCCAAATGTTAAGTTGACCCACCTACCTAGCGATCTCTGCTGGTGGTAGCCAAGCAATATATTTGCCTTTTCTGCTTGTATAAATCCAGTTGGGCACGTTCTTCTCAAGCTCTCAAAAGATCCAGGTGGTTTTGGCCAGGGCAATAAAAAGGGGTTATAATGTCAGATGGTGCTGTCTACAGTAACTGTATGAGATTTTATACAGTTTTTCTTTGCGTTGAGTAATCCTTATGTTCTGTGTTTTGGTGCTTCTTGAGTACGTTTAAAGGAAATTTAGGGACATTGATTACATTTAAAATTTGGCTGGCTCAATTACGCTGAAAAAATTTTTTTTTAAAATTAAGAATATCAAGTCAAAAGTTGAGGGTAGAATAAGGAGAATTGCACTGACTTAGAAAAATGGTTTTCTTTTCTTAAACTACCAGATCTTTTAGAATTTGTTATCCTACCACATTAAAATTCCAAATATTTGCAAGGAACTAGAGATTGAGCTAAAGTTAGTCATTAGAGGGAAACTTGTTTTTTTTTTCAGATGCATCTCTTTTCCATATGTGATAGAAACCATAAGTTAATGGAACTTCTATTTAGAATCACTCTGTCCTTGATAAATGGCCTTCTGAGATTCTCAGCACTATGTTTTACCTCCCACTGGCAGAGACTGTAAAAAAAAGGTGAAACAAAAAATATCCTGACACTTGAGAGCTGCCTGGATGCAATTAACAAAACCTTGTGGTTGCTAGGAGCTAGCCTGGCACTCCCAGGTGGTTTTGGTTCTCCTGTTGAAGATAAAGGATTTCATAGAACATCAGAATCAGACGGGTACTCTGTGAGCACAGTGAATTGAGACAGAACACCGGAATGCTCAGTCATCACGTCTGAACCCAGACAAAACAAGAATATTGTCCAAACCACAAAAATGACCAGGCACATCTCTCTCGGGAGTGATTGCTGCTTCTTTACCAATCACATCTGTAGCCTCAGGATAGTCTTCCGTCCCTCTAGGTAGGATTTATGAAGCTACCCAATCATAGCATTGCCACCCAACCCTCCACTTTCTGTCAGAACCCAATTAAAAGCAAAATCCCCCTTTCTTAAATCCTCCCCAAACTCACCTAAAATAAGCACAAACCTTACAATTGATTAATGGTCAATTTTGTGTGTCAGCTAGACTGTGATCCCCAGTTATCAAATCAAACACTAATAATCTAGATGTTGCTGTGAAGATACTTTGTAGATGTCATTGAAGTTCATAATCAGTTGACTTTGAGAATTTATCCTAGAAAAACTGGGTGAGCTTAATCTAAACCATTGAAAAGCCTTAAAAACAGAGCTGAGGTTTCTCTGAGGAAAGAGAAATTCCACTCTGAACAGCGTGTCAGCCTGTGCTGAGAAATCCAACCTGCCCTTCCTGACAACTACCTCCTAGTGGGTCTCTGACTTGCCTAGCCCACCCCCACAGATGTACAAATTAATTCCTGCATCATTCTCTTAATATATGTATTCTCCTGGTTCTACTTCTTTGATTACAACAATCTCTTACTGAGGGGCTGCATGATTCTCATGGTGAGTTTTATCCATCATGCAATGAACAATAAAGCCGACTTGTTCATTCAAGGGTATGCTCCTGCTGGTCTTTGGCTGGAGGCATTGAGGTACCTCATTAGGCCATTGTGAGGAATGTACATATACTGCACTTGGAATGAAAAATTCTTAGGACTCTTTACATATACTTGTCATATTTTAATATCATTCTCACTTTCCAAGGAGGACGTTAAAGCCCAGAGAGTTGAAGTACTTTTTCGAGGGTCACACAGCTGGTAAGTGGTACAGATATGATGCTATGGGGAAAGCCATGAGTCCTTGTGAGGAGTGATGGGTGAGAGTCTCCTTCTGTGCGAATTCAGAATCCAGTGCCTTAACATGATTAGGAGAGATATTTGACTCTTTAGGTGACTTTATTCTTTCTAGCTCCTGCCATTGTGAATGAAGAGGGTTTCTGAGGTCCCATTTGAGATGTGTTCTCTTTACCATTCAATATCCTTCTTGCTGTGTAGCAAATAACATGTTTTTATCTTTTTTCCTGTATCCAGACTTACCTGCTTTGTATCTCATGGAAATTCCTTAGAACTTTGGCAAATGAACAAAATGTTTTGGGGTGGTACTCCAGAATTTCACCTATTAACATTAAGTTTAAATAACTCAACTCCAGTTAAGAAGTTAGGGTGTTAAATGTAGGATTAAAATTGTATCTTGGATGGGAAGTTGAGGGTGCCATTTCAGATCTCACACCCTGTGGGGTGAAGGGAAAGTCCAAACAAGGCAAAGTCATTGAAGAGATAATAGACGCCTTTTCTTTTCTTTTCTTTTTCTTTCCTTTCCTTTCTTTTCTTTTCCCTTTCTTTCTTTCTTTTCTTTCTTTCTTTCTTTCCTTCTTTCCTTCCTTCCTTCCTTCCTTCCTTTCTTTCTTTCTTTCTTTCTTTCTTTCTTTCTTTCTTTCTTTCTTTCTTTCTTTCTTTCTCTCTCTCTTTCTTTCTTTTTCTTTCTCTTTCTTTCTTTCTTTTCCTTCTCTCCTTCCTTCCTTCCTTCCTTCCTTCCTTCCTTCCTTCCTTCCTTCTTTTTCTTTCTTTTCTTTTTCCTTCCTTCCTTCCTTCCTTCCTTCCTTCCTTCCTTCCTTCCTTCCTTCCTTCCCTCACTCTTTCTTTCTTTCTTTCTTACAGTCTTGCTGTGTCACCCAGGCTGGAGTGCAGTGGTGTAATCTCAGCTCACTGCAAGTAGCTGGGACTACAGGCCTTTCTTTCTTTCTTTCTTTCTTTCTTTCTTTCTTCTTTCTTTTTTTCTTTGAGATGGAGTGTTGCTCTGTCGTCCAGGCTGAAGTGCAGTGACACAATCTTGGCTCACTGCAAGCTCTGCCTCCCAGGTTCACGCCCTGCCTCCCAGGTTCACGCCATTGTCCTGCCTCAGCCTCCTGAGTAGCTGGGACTACAGGTGCCCGCTACCATGCCCAGCTAATTTTTGGTATCTTTAGTAGAGATGGGGTTTCACCGTGTTAACCAGGAGGGTCTTAACCTCCTGATCTCACGATCTGCCTGCCTCGGCCTTCCAAAGTGCTGGGATTACAGGTGTGAGCCACCGCGCCCAGCCCAATAGATGCCATTTCTATCGTTAACCTAGTTTTGCCTCTCTCCTCTTCCTGCTTCATCCGGCCATAACACACTGAACCTTGTTCCAGTTACTTCCGTCTTCAGGTCATAATTTTAATGTAAGGTAAAGTAATAAGTAAATGAAGCTCAGAAAAACAGTGTACCATTTTAACAAAAGCTAATTTGTTACCTTTGTCTAGTAGAAAGAGAAAGGTCCTCTTCATAAATTAATAGTGGGAATAAAATTTGAAGTTCAGAATAGTACTTCGTCCAACAGTTTTCTTACAAAGCACTTATTGACATGCCATTAATTCAATAACTAAAATAGCAATGGGATGTGCTGTTATAATTGACATCATTAAAAGCCCTCTAAGAAATTAGGTAGAATTTATGTTAGTTCTAATAAACAGTTATAACATTCTCTAAGACTCTGTATATTTTCAAATTGTTTTAGTCTGACTTTATGCACTAGTGAAGTTTTACTATGAAGGCCAAGACTTCTATCTTGCAGTAGTTAAAGGTGCTTCACAACAATAACAGAGTCTAGAGCAGCAAAGTAAATTTTATAGATTTTTAAAAATTTCTTTAAATTTTAAAGAATATAGATTTGTAATAAGATAAATATGTATTCCATGCTGCTTTTCGTTTTATCAGCTGCATCACCTTGTGCAAGTCACTCAAAACACCTGAGTCTTAAGGTTATTTTCTATAAAACAGAATGAAAATTATTAGATGATAGTTAATATGGTAAAATGAAATGATAGATAAGTACAATTATAAAGTTAAATACAATCCAGTGTCTGACATATAGCAACTATTCCCGAGTGGTAGCTGCTACATAAAGACAAATATTAATAATGATAATGATAATAACATCATGCTTTGGGCTGGGAAAGCCTGTCAATTTTTCCTCATTCATTTAACCTTCTCCCTGTAGCGCTCCAGGCATGTGGGAGTCTGTGAGCCACAGAAGCACTAAGAAATTGCTGAAAAACAAAGTTTTTTTGAAAACTGTTGTATCTGTCAGATTTTTCTATGTAACAAAGTACTCCAAAACTTAATGACTTCAAATAAGTTTTGGTATCAAATATGGTTTAGTATCTCCTCATGATTCTGTAAGACAGCACATTGTGCTCAGCCCACCTGAGTGGTCT